CTCCCCTCCCCTCCCCTCCCCTCCCTCAAAGAAGGCATTGACCACTGTTCCAATTTTTTTTAAATCCAGTGCCTTCTCTGCTTGAGCAAGAACAGTGGCTTTTCCTAGCAAATTGCTGAAAAGCATCTCATAAACCATCACTTGGCGTGACTTGAAAACAATCATTTTGCAGCTTCTGTGGCTATTACAAGGAGTGGCTTTTTTTAGATCATTTTCTACCCGGGACCCTTGGTGTTGATGTACAAGTAGAAAAGATTTTCAGTATCCTGCCAAACCTTTTAGGATGAGATTGGACATAGTAATGAAAAAAATACTTGCTTCAGAATACCTAAGAGATACAGGACTCTTAGAGATAACTTCTACACCTGTAGAAAAGAAAACAAAATCCCCAAACAAACTTTTGGCAATTGTCTTCTCATACATTTTGTATATCTGTAAGATTTTCTAACATGAAAAAAAATCACCAAAACCAGATTTTTCCATTGATCCAAGCAATTCTAGCAAGATAATCAACATTAGGTATATTAATTAAATGCTTTAAGTGCTGCAAAATTCACTGAAGCTATCTTAGACAATTTAGAAAATTGTAGCTTCCTAATTGCTTAATGCAGCTTCTGGGATCACTGAGTTGATGCCTTGAAATTGAAGCTGTAATTTATTCTGTGCTTTATACATTGTTCTTCGGCCCATGAAACCAAGTGCTAAAAGCTTTCTTAAAATGGCATTTGGTTTAAAATGTTTCTGTTGTTCTCAAGTATGTATGTCTCTAATAACTAAGGACTCTTTTTTAACACCCGAACATTTGAGTGCTGAAGAGGTAGGTATTAGTGCTGAAAAAAAGAATTCCTTAGTGTGTTAAAGTAAACTGACTTTTTAAAGCCCCTTTTTTAATAAACTGATGTATGTGCAAAGTTGAAGAGATGCAGATAGTCAAGTCTGTTGTTAAGTGTTGAGGCATAAGCAGCAGAATGAATGAAAGCATTTTTCAAAAGTAGTTTTGAGTTTTTGCAGTGTTAATTATTGTGGTGTTCACATGGATTTAAAACAGTCTTCATAAGTGATACCTTACTGTAGAGTATTTAGTTGGAGGGAAGCTAATTAATTAAATAGATAATATCAACTAATAATAGGCTTCAAGTGTTTTTGGAAGGAGAGTTAGAAACTCAAATATTTCTCAAAAGCAGATGGCAGAGCATAAGACAGACACTGAAATCCGTCAGCAGATGAGTGTTTCCATGATGCTCTTTCTGTTGATACCTGTATCCTATCATGTATTTCATATAACACCTGTGGTAACATCCCTATTTTTCAAGCATATACAGAAGCAGATTTAAAACTTTGCTTAAGCCAAAGCCAGTGGGCGTTTTGCCATTGAAGTTGGCATAGACAATGTTTCTGCTTTTTTCTTTGCCTTCAGAAAAGGCTAAACATCATCTCCTCGATGATGATTTAATGCTATTAGTTTTGAACTAAATGGGATACACCTCCACAGGCCATTGTATTTCATGTCTCTGGAAGATGAATGATTGGGTCACAGCTTGTTGAAAATCTGATAATGGCTTTGTTGACTTGAATTTGGGTATATGACAAAAAGCCAGATAAGCTTAGTGATGTACCAAAATATTAAACTAGTGATAGAATTTTAGTATAACCTTAGGGAAGGAAAGGATTTCCATATTATGGCTTTATTTTTAAATCATCCATACGTAACATACCCTATTTTTTACTCTACAGTGACACTGTATACAAGTTCTATCTGTACCTTTTTGTTCACTACTAGTTTGGCTAGATCTGAAGCCATAGGAAAGGAGTTTGGGGGGAGGGGGAGTGTTCCCCTAAAGAGACGGTTAATGAATTAGGAACAGCTTAAAAACAGCAACTCCTTAATTCAGAGTTATATTGGATTTATATCATTTTAATCCTTAAATTTCACATGAGTGTTCTTCCACCTGCTTTCTTCCCCTCTCTCCCTCCCCAGGTTTTGTGACATTTCACGGTAGGGTTTTTTTTTACTTTAAATAAATACATGTCAACCGTTCTGAAATAACTGTTTTTCCAGGTATGCTCCGTCCTCCCAGCTCCGTAATCAAGAGGATTCTAAAGAGTGGCTACGCTCCCATTCAGCGGGAGGACTTCAGGATACCGCTGGCAATTCCCCTTTTTCATCTGGATCCAGCATAACATCACCCTCTGGAACTAGATTTAACTTCTCACAGCTTGGTGAATAATTTTCTGTTATCACAGCAATACCTCACTTGTCTTGAAAACAGCATATTACACAATATCATTTTCTTCTAGCAGCTCTGAGTCCTGCATTCAACCTCAGGAAGCAAGTTCATTGAAACGTGTGACTAATTAGCATTATTATCTCATTTTCTGGACAAGAGAAGGCTCAGGGGGGACCTTATCACTCTTTAGAACTATCTGAAAGGAGGATGAAGCCAGGAGGTAGCTGCTCTCTTCTCCCAACTAACAAGTGACAGGACAAGAGGAAATGGCTTCAAGCTGCACCAGGGGAGATTTAGACTGGAGATTAGGAATGATTTTTTCCCCCGAGAGGGTGTTCAGGCATTGGAACAGGCTGCCCAGGGCAGTGGTGGAGTCACCGTCCCTGGAAGTGTTCACAAACCATGTAGATGAGGCCCTTAGTGATGTGGTTTAGTGGTGGCCTTGGCACTGCTGGAGCAATAGTTGGACTTGGTGATCTTAAAACCTAGCTGATTATGTGATTGTGTGATTCTGTATGTCCAAAGGTGGCATACTTTTAGTAACTCTTTGAAAATACTTCTCTGGGGATAATTAGATGTCTTAATATAAATTGTGAGCTATTTGATAGGGCTGTTTGTGAATATCACACATTGGGGTGTTTAAAGGACTTAAGATGTTGCTTACTCTGTTTATTAATATTACTTACTATATGTGCCTGTCTCATCAATTTGAGATATTTTATCTTTGTCTGTATTTTACAGATAGCTTCTTTGACAGTTGTATAAAGCTCAGTCTGAAATATTATGTAATAATTATGTTTTATTGAATCATAGATTGGTTTGGGTTGGAAGGGACCTTAAAGATCATGTAGTTCCAACCCTCCTACTCAGAAGAATTTTAATTCAAAAAAAGACACCATTCTTTCACTTTACTACATTGATAAAAGGAAACACTTTTTAAGTGAAGGAAACCGTAAAAGTTGATTGACAGGATCCATAAGGCACTGCAGATTTTAGTTGACCATATCAGAAGGTGAAATAACATCATATAAACCTCTAGTAGTGCTCATCTCTGGTACGCTGGTTAAGTATCACTTAGTTGGCTTTGCAGTTTGTTTAGGTATATAAATCAACCCTAACAGTAGATATATTGTCTTTAAGTTAAGTGGCATTTGGAAAGTACTACATTGAACAGATGTTTTCTGTTTCTTTCTGATTTTCAGAAGCCACTCCATATTTTCCAGAATGATAAATAATATGTGAATAGTTGAGCCTATACCTGTGAACTTCTTGTGTTACATGAATTGGCAGCAGCTTAGGCACCGTCACTTACTTCTAGCGCAGCAGTAACCTTTTGGAGCCTTTCTTGGAGTGCACTGAAAAGAAACAGATTAAACAAACAGTTTTAAATAAACCAACAAAACCACTGACACTTAACAAAATTTCAGCTGACTATACACCCAGTATAATTACATTGCCAACAGCTAACAAACTGCCATGAAAGTTCATGAAAAGTGCTTTGATGGTCAAAAAAATGCCAAAGAAATGTCATCATAGGCCCAGAAAGTTAACTCTTCATGGAGAAAATTGAAGATTATTTACGTTAATAAGCTTCAAAAGCTATTTCGCCACAAGCAATTTTAAGAAAGAAAAAGGAAAGATTCTTCTGTGTTCTTAAGAGCTTGGAGATACCTGTGAGTGTCACAGGTGGCAACCTGTGCCAGTGCCTCACCACCAGTTAAACAGCAAATGCTGATATGAAAGTTGAGCATCTTTAAACTAAATCATTTTATCTTCTACAATAGTCTGTATCAGTTGATGGTGTATATAGAAACAGGCATTGACAGCACATCGAGAGGAACCTGCCAGTTGAACAGTGATTTTGTTGTTCTCATTTTTTTCCCACAGATCAACTAGTTCTTTGTAAATAGCAGGTATAGTTTTAGCAGGAAAGTTATTTAAAAAGAGTATGAAATTGGAGTAGGTGTTTTTTACTCTAAACACTGCCTGGGAGAGTATTGGCTTTTGAGGCAAAATTTAAGTTGTTTAATTCTTAAGACCTCACAGTGGAAAGAAACGATTCTGAAATATAAAACTAGTATGAAACTAAGGGTCTTAAAATTTGTGGCTTAAATACATATAAAAATGTTCTTTTTTGAGAACTTGAAGGCTTTGAAGGAGATAGTTCACAAAGCCTGTTCTGTATAGGCAGAATACTAGTTTCAGTTCCTTCGGGCATTTTAGTCATGGAGGAAGATCTGTTGCAAATTAAAGGAGGGTTAATTAGATCATGGCTACAAGGTGTTACTGAGTTGACTGAGCTTGTCTTTAGAAGCATAGAATTATCAAGCAATATTTGAAATTACCTTATTTATTTGAGTTTTCTTATTCACTTAGCTTGGTTTGCATACCTCTTATTTGAATTCATTGAACTTAGAAAATTAATGAAGGTCTAGAGAGGATGGCATCAAAAATTTGTATCTTAAAAGAAAAAAGAGACTCTTGTGGTAGTTGCACAAAAATTAGGTATTACAGTTTGTGGTCACGCAAATAAATTGGTGTTTATTCTTCACATTATAGCAAGCCCAACCACTGCGGCCCAGATGAGCCTGTCAAATCCAACCATGCTGCGGACCCACAGCCTTTCCAATGCAGATGGTCCTTACGACCCTTATAGTGACACACGCTTCAGGAACAGCTCCATGTCCCTGGATGAGAAAAGCAGAACAATGAGCCGGTCCGGCTCTTTCCGTGATGGCTTTGAAGAAGGTCAGTAAAGTGATGGTGCTGGAAATGATCAGGAGATGGTATTTTCACATAAACAAAGTATACATGTGGTGCTTTTCAGGTCAGCATAAGGGTGGCTTCAGAGAATGGTTCACTCTGAGCAGAGTTCTCAGTGCTAGATGAAACCTTAGTTCTACTCCTCATTGTTCTGATGATATTTATTCAGTGATCATTCTGGCTGGGCATAGGAAGGCATGCAAGCGTCGTACCTAGATCATCACTGTTGAAGAAAGTATAAGCACATCATTGTTAGTAATCTCAAAATTACCCTAGTTCACACTTGAAGTGAGCATATTAAAGTGTTTCCTTAAAAAGGATTGTTTTCCTGAACTTGGGCCTCCACAATTCTATGTGTAGTATAAGTAATTGATAGTAGCCAGCCTATTGTTTCTATCCCAGTTAAATTTTCCAGTATTTCATCTGTATTCAAATTGTCTTTACTTTTTATTTCTGCTGAGTGTCCTGGGTTGATATCACACAGCTTCCACAGGAGGGACCTGAGTAGTTCAAAACATCTAGGCTTTTCCTTTTAATTCCTTGTCGTCTTTTCAAATATGTAATCGTAGCTGATAAAAGAAGCCCCCATGTAAATCTAAGAAGAAAAAGTCCTTTACCTATAAATAAATATTTAGTTTAGTTGCTACTGATCAGTGGCTGTAGCAGGAGTAGCTCTGAGCACAGATTAAAACCCTCAAGTGTTGCAGTTTGAGAAGTCAAGCGTGGGGTGAGCACTGGGAGTGGTTCGTAAGAAGGTTATAGGAAGTGCTTTCAGCATTAGCTCTTTGAGTCTTAGATCTGCTTTCTGGCAAGGATTGGGAATTTGCTTGGCTATCAAGTACTTTATCACTGCAGGTCACACAAGCCTTTGCTGGCTTGTTTCCCCCACCACTGAAGAGCTGCACTTACCCATCAGTGTTAGTACCAGTCTGTTGTTGCTGCTCCCCTAAAGCCAGGCATCTTTCCCAGAGATACTGATTATCCCATCAGTTTTCTGCCATTAGAAGAGGTAAAAAATGTGTATTGCATATGGCTCCAGAAGGATTCAGGGTTAATTTAATGTTGAATTTAGCCAGTCTAACTCCATTACATTTAATTGTATTTGAGAGGCATGTGGCTGAGGATCTTCAGTAGGTTGAAAACTGTTAGAATAACACTGTAGGACTGAAAACTCTTGTCATTGAAGGAATTAACATTTGTTCATGCCATGCTATCCTCTCAGAAAGCTAGATGATCACGAACAGTCAAAGGTTACCAAATACTTAGTCAGTTGAATTCCATTCTGTGATGAAAAGTCCTGATCTTACTAAAGAGTTCCTTAATGTAATCTGTGAAGGAATTTAAAGCACTGCATCTGAGTTAAACATAAATGATTTCGTGAAAGAGCTACTACAGCAAAACTTACTCAGGTTTTATTGAAGACATCAAAAAAATGTAACCTCAGCCTTCTAGGTTTGCAGCAAATCCATTTTGGCATGTTGGAGGTTAAGCTGGATCTTGTAATTCAGAAATTCTTGTCCAGGAGAGAGGCTAATTTGGAAGAATATTTAATAAGTATTTCATGTTTGAGGAGGAACCGTTTAAAAAAATAAAACGGAAGAGCTATGTGAAATGCTCTATGAAATGTTTTGCATTCATGTAATAAAAATGAAGTCCAAGAAAAATCTGCCAAGTTATGAACTTGAAAACAGTGAAAAGAGAGAACTTCTGTATACAAAGAAGGAATTTGACCCTACCATGAATATGCTGAAGAAGTACCTTCCAGATTTCCCTAAATTCTTGGCACCTAAAAGGACAATAATATTTTACTTGATGGAATGTATGTTTAGGTGCAGTCTTCTTATTTTTGGCTTCAGGTTAAAGGTCTTCTGTCACTTCTCTGGCTATGCAGACAGAAGGCAGGGATATTCTGTTCATTAGCTCCTGCTTAACTTCTCAGGGAACCACAGGTTACAAGTGCACGTGGTTCCCGCATAGGGCATTTATCTTGTCCTGTGCTTTCAAACCTGCAGATGTAATCCACCTTCACTTTGAGAGAATGGATCAAAAAATATTACAGAAATTAAATTTACAGTTAATGAACAAATTGATTTTATACAATCAGCCAGTGTCAATCAAGCATAAATCCAGGTCTTAAATGAAGGTTACCAACCTACTTCTTAATTACTTATTAGCATGTTAGATCACAAGGGGTTTTTTCTTACCAGCTTCAGCAGGGCCAGGATTAATTCTTAAAAGCCTTTTTTTTGTCTCCGTAGTGTGAAGCACAACATGTAGGTCGAAACATTAGTCAGTTTTGCAGTACATAGCTCTCTTAATAGGAAGGGTTTCAGGACTTGGAAGATGCCAGCAGGAACAACCTCCAAGCTATCCCAAACTTCAGGAGGGAAAACAGCCTAAAACTGAAGTGGCCTCTTGGCTATCCAGTTTCCCTGCTTCTCTGGCCATCAGTCTTCCCAGGAGCTGTGCTGCTGCTGGCTCCACCTTGATACTTCACCCTCCTAGAGAGAAAGAAATGCAGTGAATTGTTGTTGGGATGTAGATGTTTGTTCGGTTTTGTGCTATTGACTCTTTCTGAGTTGCAGAAAGAACTGACAGTTGATCACGGCTAGACCATTTCTTTTCTCACATTAGCTGTGAGGAAGAAGTTCTTTACTGTGAGGGTGGTAAGGCACTGGAACAGATTACCCAAAGAAGTGGTAAATGCTCTCTATTCCTGGCAGTGTTCAAGGCCAGGTTGGACACTGCCTTGGGTGACACAGTCTAGTTCATTCCTGCCCATGGCAGAGGTTTGGAACTGGGTGATTTTAAGGTCCTTTCCAGCCCAAACCAATCTACGATTCTATGATTAAAAATGACACATGCTTGCATATGCATTTATAGAGCTTGAAAATAATAGCTCCAAAACAATTTTGGGTTTGTAGCCTGCATGCAGATGCATGTTAACTGCAAAAAAACAGGAATCACATCAAGAGCATAACTGCCTTCAGGCTCCTAATTAAATAGCCTTAAAGTAGCCATCTGAAGATACTTCAAAAAGAAATTGCAGGAAAGTATTAACTCCTTAGTTGTCCTTGAGACTAGAAATGTCAACTTAGATGCACATTCAAACAGTGCAGTGGTAATGTTTTACAAGGCAGGAGCAGGATTCCCAAAGTTACGTGTTCTTTCCCTTTTTCTGTTTTCAGTCTTATTTCATCCTTTAAAATCCCAATGTGATCTTAACAATTCCAGCTGATGTTAACTCAAGAATGTGTGTGTGTCAATACGTTGTAAGGGGATCTATTTCTTCTCTGGCCAGTTGGTATGGTTGCTGTCTTGAATATGTCTCTAGTAGTAAACACTGCACAAAGGAAGAATATAGAGAGGCAAATCAGAAAATAATCTTATATTTTCTGGATGAGTCCAGTGGTGGCTTTGTGCAGTATTGCCTGTACTTTGAGCTTTTTGTATTGAAGAGAGTTAAAATAGATTAGGAATCTTCAGCTTGGAAAAATTATGTCTGAAGGGAAGTGCTAATACCTAATCTAGTGCATTATAAAGAGGTGGTTTGTCCGTTACTTTTCATATCACACGGGTGTGGAGACACTCAAGGAACTTACTGAATGATTCAGCAGCAAGTCTAAAACAACTGCAAGAAATTATATTTCTAAACACAGGAACAGATTTTCATGCAGATGTGTCAGTGAATTCAGAAGCAGTTAGGCAAATCAATGGTAAGAGAGGTCACAGCGACTTTGAAAAATAACAGTCTTACTGCAGTTTCCATCTCAGGAATTTCCATCTCTGCTGATTCCCAGAGATGCAAAGGCGTACCTGGGGAAAAAATCACTGGGTATCTGCTTGCTCCTTGCATTTCTTTCCGTAAACATGGGCTGCAATTGCAGCCAGAGATGGAGCACACGATTAGACAGCCCCTGGCTCTGACTCACACTGGTTATTTTTATGTTTTTAATGCAGTACAGTCCTTAACATCTAACTATAAAGATCATTTTAATTGAAAGTATGATTAACCAGAAAAAGCAAATGGGTGTGAGGGTTTTTTTTGCTTTCTTGTGGGTTTTCTAAATTGTCTTAAATTCCTCCAGAAGCCAACTTAGACTTTGTTTACTTTTCTTTCCAGACTTGCCTTAGGATATAATGTCAGTGGGAAAGCAGAGCCCATTTATTATGAATGTAGGATAACTGCAGTAGGCAATGGAGCAAAGTGGCAGCTTTTCTAAGCCCTTTTTTTGGCTGGAGAATTTAGATGAAAGAAGAAGTGATTTAACACGATTTCATACAATTTGTATGAAGTTACCTGAAGTTTGAATTAAAGTTTCAGTAAAATATATTTTGTTTCTAAAAATAAAGGTAATACTGTGTGTTTCATTAGCAGAAAGAATAGCTTCAGGTATTTTTTTTTTTAATAACATAATCAAAAGTAAGATTATATGTAAATCCTAATACTGGGGTGATGGAAACAACCTTGAGAATCAGCACATATGTATATCTCTTAATGAATCTATATTTAAATGCGAAACCTGCTTGAAATGGGTTCTTTTCCAGACATGGTTTTATAGCCATGCTACTGTGGTGGGTTTTCTATGAGAGAATGAACTTGGCCTTGTTAAAGAAATGTCATTGCTTTAAAGAAAGACCAAAAAACCCTGCAGGGATAGGGAATGTTCAGCTCATTGATGCCTGTAATACAGCTCCCCAGCAGAAGGAAGATACAGATGCATTCAGAGGACAATTAAGAGCCACAAAATTAGACAGTGGTTTCTTCTCTGGATGTTCCACATCTGCTGCTGGAGCATCTGGTTATGTGCTGGGTATTACGGTTTCCTCGGGACATCTCCTTCTTGGTCTGCTACTTGAAGAAAACAGCCTCCCCCTCCTCAATCTCATCTGAAATTGAAATTTACCTAGATGTACTTTTGTAATCTCTCCTGAATTTCTGTTAATTTGTTGGGGGTTTTATTTTGAGTAAACCCTTTTGCAAGTTTCTTAAGATAAGCTGTCCAGAGAAATACTTGTTTCTGAACAAATCTGCATCAAAACTTTTCTTTTTAATCTTCTTGACTTCATTTCCCCAAAACCCAGGTATTACTAAATTGTTAAAACAGCTTTATCAAATCATTTATGGATTGTATTTCCTGGCCATGCATTCTTTAAACTGTACATTGCTGGTGCAATAATATAATTAAGTTTATGATGGATGATGAAATTTGGGAAAGTATTTCTTCAGTAGGCTGGTTGTTAGCAGGGGGTGATCTGTGGTGATTCCACTGTGTGGTTGCTGTATTTATATTCATCATGTTTATTTTCTTTCTTCTAGTGCATGGTTCTTCTCTCTCTTTAGTATCCAGTACCTCATCTATTTATTCAACGGTGAGTATAATGAAGTGAAAAATTTGGGTTTACTAATCAAAATGGTTGAATTACCAGTTTTATTTTGCTAATTATTTTTGCCATTCAAGGAAGGGGGAAAAAAAGGCTTTTCCTTTGACTGTGTTCTGAATGCTAGCTACAAAAGAGAAACGGTTACGTTCAGAAAGATGCCTGTGGATATTTAGCATTATCCTCATCAAACAGACTTTAATGGCCTAAAAGCAAATGATTGCTTTACAAAATGGCCAGATTACTTTTCAAGTCAATGTTTTACAACTACGCTGAATAAGTTTTGCTTCAGAGGACCTCAGTAGGTCTAAGATTTCGACCTGAAGCACCCCAGAATTTGCTGAATAAAGTCATTCCAGCCTTGTTTTAATGATTTGCTACGAAAGAAGTTTGAGGTTTTTAATGCACAGATGTTAATAATTCTAAAGAAGCCATTTGTTCACTGTGCCACTGTTACGTTCTTCAGAAGTATGTCTTCAATTAGGTTATCTGATCATAAAACAAGGCTTATTGGAGTGTGAAAACACAGGGTTGTGTTTTTTAATGAGTGTTGCATTTGATTATTTTCTTCCTAAGTCTTGTGAAGAGTGTCTATTTAAACATATACCATGGAAGACCGTGTAGGATAAGACTATACCTGTGCTGTAATGGGGAGGCGAGGCTGCAATGTGCTCGCCATGTCTTGCCTAGCTTTTCTCTAGCTGGTTGGTGTGGTAACTACAGTCATTCCTGGCATGCTTCGATCACAGGTTTGGGCGTTTCTTAAAACACAACCCTTTTAAAAAGCTGCTTCTGAAAAGAATTGCTTCTAAAATACATGTTAATTGAACAGGATCTTCAATTTCAAATTCTTAATGCAAGTATGATGTGTCTTCATGCTTACCACAGCTGTAACGAGCATATGTGATAAAAGAACTTGGCCCTTGGAAGGTCATGTATAACTAACTGTGAAGTCTTTCAAGCCACCATAGAGCTATTTATCATTATTTCTCATACATTGACATTCTCATACATTCACATTCTCATACATTAATAAGCTAAGACCTTGATAATAAATTGAAATACTACCTTTCATTATTGACTTCAGCTCAGGCAAGGTCCATATGAATCCAGAATAGATAGAAGGTATTGGAAGGATGGAAAACAGACCTTTTCCTCTGGGCTTTTGTTTATAACCATGTTTATAACCGTGAGAGCCTCAGAGCAGCTGCTGTCTAAGCTTCAGGTTTATGTGCTTGCTGCCCAAGCGCAAGTGGCTCCTAATAGTGTGGTTTGATGGGTATAATTTTCATGGTGTCTGCTAGTGGACATGTTTACACAAGGCAAGTGGAGTGTGTAACTTCTCTGTAGCTGAGAACTTTGGTTAGAAACAAGCCATCGTAGGCACAATTTTACCACGCAGGCCACAGCAGATGGCCAGTACATCCAGTTTGCATTCTTGGATAGCTAGCTATGAGTCCTTAAGTTTTTCACCACCCAAGTGGGAGTCATTTTATTTCATATCACTTTGGAATGCAAACATGTGATCTCCATTCTTTGGAGAGCTAGCTGAGCATGGGAGGAAGAGAATTACTGTCTGGTGTCAGGCATGTTGTGTGAGAGTCCTGGCTCTTTGGAAGCCTCATGCAGCCCCTTATGCACTTTACTCTTCCATGATTCAGACTTAGAGGTGCGCTAGTCGGTAGGCTGGGAATTGGAGCCTGAATTCCTTCCTGCAGGAAGAAGTACTGTGCAAGCAGCCTGTGTCTTTTCCTGAAGTGTAAATATTCTGGGAGATTATTTTAGATGGAATACGGATGTGGGAATCCAAACTAAGGAATTCACATGAGAGTTTTTGAAACCCTTTTGAAACATTGTATAAATTGGTCAGGCTGGTTATGTTGTAATATCCTCATTTATTTTCCTTTGTTTTTATTTTATAGCCTGAAGAGAAGTGCCAATCAGAGGTAAGAGCACATCATGTTTGACAGGCATAAATGTTCTGACAAGGCACTCTGCGTTCCGTGTCTTGCTGGTTTATTTTTCCATATTACAGTGCAGTAAAGTGCTCTGTTCAAATCCATAGATTCGCAAGCTACGAAGAGAGCTGGATGCGTCCCAAGAAAAGGTGTCAGCTCTGACAACTCAGTTGACTGCCAACGTGAGTACAACTCTGAGAACAAACACTAACAGGGAATGCATTTAATGTGCCAGTTTTTCTGGCCATTACCAGCCCCATTTTATTATGTGACAGAAAGATTTCATGTGTATAACATTCAGTTTAAAATAACTGCATGCATGTGGGACCTTCCCTCTGCTGAATTGTGTGATGCCTTCCTTTAAATACTGAATTATAATATTCATTTGCCTTTTGAGATACATATGTAAACCATCTTCAGAGCTTGAGAAAAATCACTAAGACAGGATCTTTTTCTTATAAATAGTGTCTTGCTTTATAAATCCAATTGGATGTTTGTGGGATAAGGATTGTAATTGGTAAGAATAAATATTGGTAGAAACGTGAGTTGAAATTCATTATACTTTGCTGTTTCAAAAAGATGTGGGCTAATGGCGTGATAGGTAATAGTGGCATAAGGGGCTCTGAGAACTAATTCCAAGTTTTGCCTGAAGAGTGAACATATCTGATTTTTATTAACCAGTGTAGGTACAACTCTTGCTTGTTTCCCTTGAGGAACTTGATGAATAAGTAATGTAAGACACTTGGAAAAAGAAAGATTTGCAAGCCAGGAGGTGTTGAGGCAACACTATGTGTGACCCTGAGCAAGTTTGTGTGTTCTGTGCTGAAATCTGCAAAACAGAAGCTTTGCTAGAAAAATAAGCAGTGCTAGAATAAATAAACTACAGATGAATAGTCACTGGATCATACTGACATCCTAGTTTGTTGGAAGGAATTCAGAACACATGCTACTGAACAGGACATTCCTGTCCACCAGCTCTTTGCATAGGTAGAATGCGAAACTCGGCACAGTAAAGAGCACTAATGCTTATCACAAGAAGGATTCAAGGGGAAGTCTGCTGTAGTGGTCACTGCAGGTATCACGGTCCTTCATGCAGTTTGCAGAATGGAAAAGCAAAAAAACCAAGAACAGTTAATAGAGAAATCAAGTAAAAGGGCTTTGACTGCATGTAACAACTCAGTTGCTTTCCCAAGAGGAAAAGGAAGAATTTAAAAAACCTTCCAGAACTTAAATATTTAAATGTTTGCCTTTCAAATACAAAGAGGACTGGATACACGAGTTGGTTTTCATCCAGAAGTTTCCTTTACACATGAGAAAGCAGGACTAGGTTCTCTTGCATGCATCTTTTTTATCATCTTGTTAAGTAACCCAGCTTGTGTCCTTCAAACAAAGAACTTTCCAGCCGTTCAACTCAGCATAGCTCTGCCTTAGTTTTGCTGCATTCTTTTTCATAGAGTGTTCAGATTCAATAGGCTGTTACTCAACACAGGAGTTAGTAGCCTGTCTCCAACAGCAATGAGTAGCACAGGCTACTGTATCCCTGTCTAAGCCGCCACTAATTTGCCCAAGACTTTGTGCATGGCTGCTACCACTGTCTTTTTGGAGAATAGTTTTTAATAGCTGCTGCACATTTTTGTTTGGTTTGGAGTAATTTGGGGGAGGGTGGAGTTGGGGGTCCCCCCAAAAAGTTAGCATCACTGACATACAATATTTGCTTTTGTCCTTGTAGGGTTTTACTTATGCTGTTTAAACTTCTTAGACTTGGAATTGCCCTTATTTGTCCATAAAACAGCAACAGTCTGCTGCAGAGATGTTGCTATAACTGTCCTAGTAATAGATTTCAGTCTGTAGCCACCTTTTTTCAGAGAATGTACCTTTTTTCCATTAAAAAGGCCAGGTCTGTTCCCAAAAAAGTTAAGACTCATAAATGCTGTTTGTTAAGACATTGCTTTAGGGACATTTCCTTTACACAATATTTTTTTAATAGAATGATTTTAATGTAAGCATCTTGCATTCATCTTTCTATTTAATGTATTATTTTTTTTCTTGAATTTTCCTGTATCGGCACTGCAGCTTTGGATGCCTCTCTGGCCAGCAGGGCCAAGAGTTTAAAAAAGTTTTTCTCCAACTAGGAAGTGCAAATGAGTCTTTTTTTCCATAGTTCACTGAACAATTTCCAGATAGGAATAATTTCAAGGTGCTTGATCCGTGTTTGAAAGATCAACTTTCTCTCAAGGTTCAGGTCAAAGCGTTAAGGGTTTGTATCCCATTATTAATCCATTTGGTCCTGCTTGCCCGTTTCTTTTTCGCTTTTGCAATGTATTGCTGAGGACTCCTGAATATCAGTTTTGTTGTTGCCTGTTCATCCTCCCCAACAGAAGCTTTGCAGACTGTGTTTTTAAAATAAATATTTAGATTTTCATACGTCTGTAACATGAGGGTCTAAATGACTTTTTGCTATTTTCTCACAGGCTCAGCTCTGTTTATTTTCACAGGGGGTGATGGGAATGAGAGATGCACATCCCTGTGTTATTGTACTGCTCATGTTTGTTTTCACTGCAAATGTGAGGACTGTTATTTAGGATAAGTCAGCTGTGTGCTGCTGCTGAACAAGTCAGGAATAGCTCTGTGAAAGGTTTTGCTGTTCCGTGTATATTTAGGCAAGAGAATGTCCTTTTCCACTTTGAAAAACTTCACACAATTTTACGTGTCGTTGTGTGTATAGAATTGTTTTCAATAGCAAAATAAAGTATTTTTTATAGTTTATGTAGATTATTGTGCCTAATGAGACAAATACATATTGAACTATGTCTGTGTTACTTGTGCACATTCATATACATGTGTATCTATAAAACGGTGCCATGTCATGTCACTGGAAACATACTTCCCTCTTACCAAGGTCCTTTCCGTCTTCTCAATCTGTGTTTCCTTCATGTACCATCATTTTCATTTCCTAGCTGATGTTCTTAATGCAGTCGACACTGGGTTCTCATTGCTTCATGGGAAAAGAGAGAAGGGTAATTGGCCAAGCACCAGAAGTTTTGGATCATATTTAGCACATGGACCTTGGTTGCAAGCAAATATTCAAATATTGGAAAATTCTTTGAGTTAGATGCAGATGTATCAGCCAGTAAAGCATCTGACAGGTTGCCTGCAATGCTGAAGTAGTCCTTATCCCTTTCTGCAGGGAAGGCATCTCTGGACTCAACTGACTAACTTGGCTTTTGGAGTTCTCATGTTGGGATAGCACAGTGAAAATCTGTAACCTGCAGCACCTTTTTGCCTTAAATATCCACAAGGAAAATAGTCATCTAGTTGGAGGGATGTTTCTGCCTGGCTTTCCTCTACCTAAAAACGTGCTTTATATTTTGTCAAGGCCAGATTGGATCTAGTGGGAGGTGTCCCTGCCCATGGCAGGGGGTTGGAACTAGATGATCTTTTCCAAGACAAACCATTCTATGATTTAGTGTTTCCTATTTTATTTTGGGTTTTAGGGTGTCCTCCTAAAACTCAGGAGTGACATTTTGTTGTTTGGGGGTGTAGATATATATGTATACTTCGGGAAAATACTTTAGATACAAACTTTTTGTGAAAAGCATTGTGGAAAGAGTTCCCTTAACCATATGAAGGGCACCTGAAAACTATTACTGGGTAACCTTATACATGCTAATAATGACCCACATAAAAAGTCAAAGATGAAGTCTGATTTCAGAACTGAAGAGCAGGAGATGTTCAGAAATAGGCATTGGTTTGTTTCTTTTTCCTCTCTACATTTTGTGACAGGAGGTCTTGTCATGTCATTGCTTGCAATAGCTTGAGGACATGGCTAGATAACCAAGGACATCCTTCCATGCATTTTTGGTGTCAGGAATACTTTCAGGTGACAAGATATATTTCCTAAAGCATCCTTGGAAAGACTCAGTTAATGAATCAGATGTTTCAAGAAAAAAATCAAATCTAATAAGTTTTTTTATTTCAAACGTGTCAAAATGTGTTTTCCATTTATCATAAGGTCCAAGCTTTTCAAAGGACCTTAACTCCTTGGGATCCAGGAGGTGTTCTTGCTGTATTCTGGATGTAGGATTGCACATTTTACAGAATAAATGAGAATTCTGAACTAGAAAAAACAATACCAAGCTTAGCTCTTTTGTTAGAGTATGTCTGACGTGATTACAATAGCCAGGACAGTCTGAGACAGCTGTCCTGGCTATTGCAATCATGGTATCTTAAGAAGTGGATGTAATAGCTGAGTGAGAAGCCACCTCCAGGAAATTGCCTCCTGATGTGCCAGGTCACAGTATTACTCGTATGTCTCTGTTTTCTGAAGTATTTGGTAGCAGCTACTGCTGAGCATGGTTTATAGCCTAAAACTGCATAATTCCATAGCGTGCTGCTGTAATAATTGTACAGGAAAGGGCTGATGTTTGCTAAAATCCTGAAATTGGTCCCTTACATTTGGCATTTCTGATTTTCCACAAATAAATAGTTTCTGGTAATTTGTTTGCAAGCATTTTCACAACTCATGCTCTATGCATTTGACCTTTTCTCATCAGTGTTTTTTCTCTGTATCATTTACACAACAAACGATGCAGTGCACTCGGTGGTCCATTTAAATACCCGCAGAAATGTTCTTGTCTGGGGAGGAGAGAACAAACTACTTCTGTATGGTTTGACTTTCAGGCTCACCTCGTGGCAGCATTTGAGCAGAGCCTGGGGAACATGACGATCAGACTGCAGAGCCTGACAATGACAGCGGAACAAAAGGCAAGCTTGAAAAGGATTTGGGGAAGTCTTAACTTCTGTTTCCAGCATCACTGCTCATGCTCCTTCTATGGTTGTGGGGGTTTTGTGCCATTTGCCTTCATGTCCTCAATTGTGGTAACAGAGTAAAATGGAATCAAAATTTTGTATAGAATCCTCATTTTCTGTACTGGGACGTTGTAGCAAGTGAGCAGGTTATTCCTGTAAGTTGTTGGTTTGGACACACATCTTCATTATTGCATATTTTTGCAATGAATTTCTTCCCAGTGCATCCACACATGTGCATGTTAAAGAGAAATGCTGAGAAAAATCCTTGCAAGACAGGCAACACTGGGGTTTTGGACACGATTAAGTAGTGTGTATTCAAGCATACACAATTCAATATACACAATATTTCTGTATGCCAGAGCTTCTATATTCTTTGTATCATAATAACCAGGCTGGTTTGCAGCCTATTGAGCATGTGCTTCCGTAGGCATATCAAACCTCATTTTCATCTCCTTGTACATATATTGCATAAATTCTCTATCAGCCCCGATTGAAATGTGGCTTCTTTGGAGCAGTTACCTTCATACCATCTGCATTTTCCAACGTGGCTTTTTTTTCTTTTTTTTCTTTTTTTTTTCCACTTGTTCAAGGACTCGGAGCTGAATGAGTTGAGGAAGACAATTGAACTACTGAAGAAGCAAAATGCTGCTGCCCAGGCTGCCATCAACGGAGTCATCAACACACCTGAGCTCAGCTGCAAAGGTGAGCAGCAAAGCACCACCTATAGCAACTGTGCAGTGCTCATGAGACTTTAATCCTCTCAGGAGTAACTGATGTAATCATCAAGGATCAGCTTTGTCTCATAAGCATGCTCTAGTTAACTTGTTTGGGATCATGTGGGATTTGAAATAGGTATCTGTGTAAACTGTGATAAATTGTACAGAAATAAATGGAGAGGTAAAACGAGAAGGTGTTTTAACAAAGCTTTTCCACCTTCAGTGTGGAAAATTCACTGAATTTACCAGAATCATTTAGTAATTCACACACCTAGATGCTGATGTGAAGCAGCAGGGAGCAAAATCCCCATTTCATTGCTGTCAGACACTTGGTTTATTTTCTTCAGTGTTTTCAGCAATCTCCAGTATAAAGTCTAAATACAGTCCTGTCTTATCACACATCTCATATTTATCCCAGTAATTTACATGGGGATGAATTCCTGAAGGAAGAGTTTGTGGGGTCTGGGTCTGAGATTTTAATCTCTTCACAAGAAACAATGATTACCATATCCTGGGCTGCATCAAAAGAAGCGTGACCAGCAGGTCAAAGGAGGTGATCCTGCCCCTCTACTCTGCTCTCATGAGACCCCACTTGCAGCACTGTGTGCAGTTCTGGTGTCCTCAACATAAGAAGGACATGGAGCTGCTGGAGCAAGTCCAGAGGAGGCCACAAGGATGATCAGGGGCTGAAGCATCTCCCGTATGAAGAAAGGTTATATGGGAACCAGGCTGAGAAAGTTGGGGCTGTTCAGCCTGAAGAAGAGAAGCTGTGTGGAGACCTCAGAGCAGCCTTCCAGTATCTGAAGGGGGCCTACAAGGATGCTGGAGAGGAGTCATCAGGGTCTGTAGCGATAGGACAAGTGATGAAGGGTTTAAACTTAAACAGGGGAAGTTGAGGTTAGATATAAGGAAGAAGTCCTTCCTTGTGAGGGTGGTGAGGCACTTGAACAGGTTGCCCAAAGACATGGTAAACGCTCCCTCCGTGGCAGTGTTCAAGGCCAGGTTGGGTGTGGCTTGGAGCAACCTGGTTTAGTGGAAGGTGTCCCTGCCTGGGGCAGAGGGTTGGAAGTGGATGATATTAAGGTCCTTTCCAACCCAAACCATTCTATCGTTCTATGATTAGCAGCGCTGCTTTGAATTACACAGTGCATCCACTGGGGTAAGTGATTGTCAAGATGTCTGTTTCCCTAAATGTTTCTTTTAGATTCCGTAATTTAACACCAAATAGCAAATTTTGACAGTGCCTCCATTCATATGCAGGACCTGGAGCTGCTCAACCCACAGACCTGCGGATCCGCAGGCAGCACTCTTCGGATAGCGTCTCCAGTATTAACAGTGCTACCAGTCACTCCAGTGTGGGGAGCAACATTGAGAGTGATTCAAAGAAAAAGAAGAGGAAGAACTGGGTGAGTGTATTTTAGCAGATCGCGTGAGGTTTATATAAAACTGTCAGAACATGCCCGGTGAAATTGAGCTGCTCAGCTCCTCCTTCCTCCCCTGCTGCAGCAGGTCAGCACAAGGACTATGCACTGCTTAAATCCTGTGTAAATTCTTTTGAAGGCTTAATTGAATCCTAAGTGATGTATATGCTTGTGTCGACGCTGCGTAGGATTGAGTTCTGGCTTCTACAGCTAAAAGGCCAGTCTTAAATTAGAAATAGCTGTTAAAGATCAATTCTGGCTTAAAGTAATGTGGTGTCCAACCTCCTAGGGAAAAACTGACGTCTGTCGTTAAAGTAGAAACAACTCTACAATGAGAGATTATTCTTACTTCTTTTTTTCTTTGGCTTGCTTTTAAGTGAACACTTAAATGTGTTTAACACTTGATGTTAAACACTTTAAGAACTCTGTTTTGAGCATTACCATGAAGCTCTACAATGAAAAAATACCAGCCTTGAACAATTTTGCTTACCTGTCATTTCCCATTTTTCCTTCTTTGCACATCATGTACTGTGTACAAGGTACCCTGTACTGGAGGAAAGGTACATTATATTAAACTCCATTTTCAATTAGACCATAATTGCCTTAGAGCCCTAGTCTGATTGTAGTCTGGACAAAAGTCCTTAGATCCTTTATTGTAGCCAGTAAAGCAATCCATCCCTTCCTTCCTACTGAATTTAAATCTTCCTGGATCTTTTGGATGTACAGTTAAATCTGTATAAATACAAAATGTGGTTAGAGCTGGTAAAAGCTTGATTTGTATTTGCACAGTATCCTCTCAGAAATGCTTGTGAAATTCCTGAACTATAAGAAACAACATTCTGAGCAGGTTCTTGTTTTTATTTCTCTCTTGTCCCAGTGGTTTAATTTTGGTATCTTTCCAGGTCCTTCATAACAGCAGTATTTCCATTCTGCCCCTTAAATTATCGTTTGAATGGAAACAGTGTCATCTCCAAATCTTTCTTGTGCTGGGTTATACATTAGTTATAGACAAATTAAATTGCTGTAACTTAAATTGCTAGCAATTCTGAATTGCTGACACAAACCATTCATAATCATTAAGCCTTAGTTAAGACAAACACTAAATTTTTGCTTTAGCTTCAATTCTTTGCTTTTGGAACCTAGTAGTTATTATCCTGCATCAACATTTATCATTCGGCAGATGACTATTTTTAAAGAAGGTTAAGAAAACATCTCCTTATTAAAAAAATAAATAAAGTTTTCAGGAAGCAGGAAAAACAGGACAGTCTTTTTGTGTTGTTATAAAAGATGAGTGCATCATTGCTGTGAAATGAAGATTGGAAATTCAGTCAGTAATTTACCGAGAAAAATGTGTAAGTTGAGTCTGATCGCCCATTGTTGTCTATTTCACAAATACTGAGGAAGTTCTCGGCCAAGATCTTTTTGTTATCTGTGAAAACAACACAGCTGTACATTCAGAGCTGAAACACCAGATTTTCAACATTTCTTACTGTAGGAGTCTTTTAGTCTAAAATTAACTTTCAGCTCATACTAAGCCAGCCTGTTCACAACATGTAATTTGTGATAGCATTAAATGGTGTTCATAGAATATCCTGAGTTGAAAGGGACCCATGAGGATCATCAAGTCCAAACCCTGACTCCACACAAAGCAAACTAAAAATTAAACCATGTATCTAAGACCATTGTCCAAATGCTTCTTGAGCAACTAACTGTTGAACTGAAACTTCGGGATAACATCAGTTTAATCACATGAATATTCATTCTTTTTGTTGTTTGGAAATGGCAGTCACATGAAAAAAGGTTATTTTGGTTACAGGTAGGTGAAATACCTGTTCCTGCAATGAAAAACACAGTATTAACTTGGCTGTCAACCAAAACATTCTGTCTGAGCTAAGGAGAAAATAAGATTTTAAGAGATTTGGGTCTGGTGTTTCCCCCAAGTAACACAAAAAATGACCATATGTCTTTTGAAACATCTGGTTTTGGATAATAGAGTTCCAGTTTTAAAGTAACTGTTGGTCTTTGTTGATTATTGATCATGTTTGTCTTAGAAAGCCGAAGCTTTCCTGGCTTTCCTGTTAAAACATGTCTTTTTTTCCTTCCCCCACTTCCTTTTGCTTGCGCTGCTTCTGGCAGGTCAATGAGGTAAGGAAGACCTACTTTACACTATGAGATACAAAGCTAACCCATCCGTTTACATCACTAACCATTTCAGCATCATGAACCTTGGCTGAGCCACATCACGTTGTAGCTGCAAGTTGTTAGAACATCGCCATCAAGCTTGTTGCACTGAACAAAATTTGCTATGAAATAGTTACAAATAGGAAGCATTGATATCCACTCCTATTGACATTATTAATCTCATAGTCAAGGAAAAGAGGCTTTTTTATTCTTTTTTACCTGTATTAAAATATACATGAATATGGCTTTTACCAGTTGGAGTATTTGCATGTTAGAGTTCTCGTTCTGTGGCTTTTTTTTGCCTGGTTCCCTTCTTAATGATGTGCCTACTGTTGTGTTTTTGGGGTTTTTTCAGTTACGCAGCTCCTTCAAGCAAGCTTTTGGTAAAAAGAAATCTCCCAAGTCAGCATCTTCTCATTCAGATATTGAGGAGATGACTGATTCTTCGTTACCTTCTTCACCAAAGCTGCCACACCATAACTCCACTGTTTCAACATCATTGCTGAGAGCTTCCCATTCCAATTCTCTGTAAGTGATTTAAGTTCTAAACAGCAAATGCTATGGAAGGCATCTTGCTGCACTGGTAGAGGAAAAGAGAAATACCGTGCTTTGAGGAGATCCAATGTTTTCCATGCTAGCTTGAAAAAACATCTCTAGGCTGCTTTACAGAAACAAGCAGAGGCAAAATGTACCCAACACCATCCTGTCCCCTTTGATTCCTCTGTCTAAGAACCTGCACATCTCTACAAGCACTATGAGAGTCTGACAGCTGTTCATCATGAGGCCATAGCAGGAGATGCAGTGGGCTAGACTGCTGTAGATCAGGGCTGGTCTGTTGCCATGATAAGTCTTTCTCCCAGGCATCATAGAATCATAGAATAGTTAGGGTTGGAAAGGACCTTAAGATCATCTAGTTCCAACCCCCCTGCCATGAGCAGGGACACCACACACTGAACTATGTTGCCCAAGGCTCTGTCCAACCTGGCCTTGAACACCGCCAGGGTTGGAGCATTCACAACTTCCTTGGGCAACCTATTCCAGTGCCTCACCACCCTCACTGTGAAGAACTTCTTCCTTATATCTAATCTAAACTTCCCCTGTTTAAGTTTGAAGCCATTACCCCTTGTCCTACCACTACAGTCCCTAATGAAGAGTCCCTCCCCAGCATCCTTATAGGGCCCCTTCAGATACTGGAAGCTGCTATGAGGTCTCCATGCAGCCCTCTCTTCCCCAGGCTGAACAGCCCCAACTTTCTCAGCCTGTCTTCATACGGGAGGTGCTCCAGCCCTCTTATCATCCTCTTGGCCCTCCTCTGGACTTGCTCCAGCAGCTCCATGTCCTTCTTATGTTGAGGACACCAGAACTGTACACATTACTCCAAGTGAGGTCTCACAAGAGCAGAGTAGAGGGGCAGGATCACCTCCTTCGACCTGATGGCCACGCTTCTTTTGATGCAGCCCAGGATACGGTTGTTTCTGGGCTGCAAGCGCACACTGAAGCTGGCTCGTGTCAAGCTTCTCATCAACCAACACCCCCAAGTCCTTCTCCGCAGGGCTGCTTTGAATCTCTTCTCTGCCCAGCCTGTAGCTGTGCCTGGGGGTACTGTGTTTTGCTAAATGGGGTGAAATCCTTAACCCTGTCATACTAGCAAAAGAAGGAGCAAAGATCAGACTTACATCTACTGCCTATTTTGAATGTTCTGTAGTCAAAGGAGGTTACAGGCAGAGAATAGAATAGCTGAATTTTGTATTCAGGGAATTAAAGATACGTAAGTTGACTCCCAGCCTAATACCTTTTCATTAGTGTCCAGGAAGCCAAAAATCATTGCATCATTACTGTAGCATGATTTATATTTCTTTGGGATGCTATCCCAGCAGAACATACTGGGTATGAAGATTATTTATAAGCAGGGTGACCTTCAAGGTCAGAATTAATTGGATCTCTTGCTGTTAATCAAACAAGCCACGCCAAGTCTGAGATTTTGTTTTCTCTGTTGGCTAAAGACAGCTAATCTGCCATGATGAGTTCCCAATTAAGTTGACAAATTCAGATAAAGGTAAGGATTTACTGGAAATCAAACAGGATAGTTAATGATACAGCTGAACTCATCTGCCAGCTTATGCCTGATGAATGATGATGATCCACTCCTTTTTCCTTCTGTACCTACCCAAGCCACCTTGCCTGCTCCTTCCCTTGCACTGGCTCTGCTAGTTCCCAGAAAACTCCACTGAGCTGATGCAACATGCTAATTATGTGAAAAATACTTCGACAGAAACAGGGGGTTTTCCTCCAGGTTGCTGGGTTGGCTCAGCTCAGGGCTCTGATCAGACTGTGATGAGTGCCAGAGCCAGCATAGGCATGGAAGCATGACAGCAGCAATGGCCAGGAGCAGGCTGGGGAAGAAACAAATGGGCTCCTTTGGGTGGTAGCAAGCTATTGTATAGGCTTATCTGTATGACCAAAACATACCCTTCTGCTTGGGTTTGTGTGAGAATGAGAGGTAGACTTTAAAGGCAGAACTTCTGCTCTGCTGCTTAACTCATTTTATGTTCATGGGAAGGTCACATGCAATCTTGAGGCTTCATTTTGACCACGTGTGAAATAAAGTTAATTAATTGCCTTACCACGCTGGTTTGTGTCTGAACTCACATTTTAGAATGTGCTTGGGTAACTCCGTAAAACAGATTTTATGTTAATTCTATCAGTAGCTTCGTCACTTGAGTAGGATAAATAAATACAGAAAGTTGTAAGAGGTAGTATTGTGAAACATGTAATTACCAAGCAGCCTTACGATCTTGATGATGTCATGCAAAGTTTCAAGCCTGATTTCAAATCAAATGCGTTTGAGTAACTACCCAGACTTGATGTTTTTCCCATCGCTTGTTTTCACATAAAGAGGTGAAAACAATAGCAATCGTTTCCAGCCATATAATAGTGATGAAATTTTAGTAGCTGAAGCTAATCCCCCATGAATTATTTTAGAAGCTTCTCCAGTGTCTCAAGCCTAATTGAGTGAGTTTCTGGTGACGGCAGCAAATTGTGCATTAGAACTCTAAGGCCAAAAACTTGTCAGATGCTGATCCCATCTATCCTCAGTCAAAATGCTATGTTTTATGTCTCTTTGTGAGACAAAAAGAGATAAATCAGTAAACTCAGGGAAGAATGGAATAAAAGTAAAACTTGTGTATTTTGGCTTATTGGCTTTTTGATGGGGAAACATCTCATTAACCTGATTTAGGGAGACACATTTTAGCTGAAATCTCCTTCAAAGCATGCAGCTGTGTAGTTGATCTTTATGTAGATAAACTTATGAATGTGTTAAAATGTTACTCACCCAGAATCTTTTTTTTTTTATTGGGGAGGAGGAGGGAATTAAAACGCCACCAAAAATGTTTAAGCATGAGTGCTTTGAAGTGAGCAGGAATTTATCATGCTTGAATAGGTGTAGAGTTCCAAAGCCCTCCAGAACAGTTCAGGGAAACCCAGCTGTGCACACCTGGTGAGCTTTAAATCTGTCTGTAAACTCATCAATCTCCAACCAACTGCTCTTACTGCCTGCACCCCCTTAATTTATTTAGATTTTGGCTTCAGAAGTTTTCCTTTATGGCAACTACCATGAAAAAAAAATGAAGACTATCCGATAGTAGGTGATTTCCACAATTCAGTTTCAGGATTCAAGACAAATGATGCTCAGACATATTTATTTCACTAGTTTCTAATTTTTCCATGACATATTTAATAGCTGACTTATGTATCACTAGTCAGATAAGCCCAAACTGTTGCCTGCTTCCTGCAGAATAAAAGGGTTTATTCCTCCTTTACTAATAAATGCTGGAGAAGCACCATCTGAAAAGTAGCAAATGGTTCAATGAACAAAATGGTTCAAGAACAAAAGATCAATGCCTGTTTTTCCATCTTCTCCAGTATTTCTGAATGCACTGACAGTGAGGCTGAAACAGTTATGCAGTTAAGAAATGAGCTGAGAGATAAGGAGATGAAGTTGACTGACATTCGGCTAGAAGCCCTTAGCTCTGCTCATCAGCTTGACCAGCTTCGTGAGGCAATGAACAGAATGCAGGTAAGAAGTAACCACCCCAAATGTTGCAGTCTGTGTTGATGTGTTAAAGATTGGCCAACCTCCCCCACAGTAAAGATCTGGAAGAAGGTAAATTTAAGTTTTTGAATGCTTACTTAGAGTTATGTTTAGCTTGCAAGTGTTAAGCCTTCATTAAGAGTCAGCTTGAACACACGAATTCTGCTGCCTTCAACTACTGTTTCAACCCTGAAAACATATGGGAAGATCATTTTGACTGTCAGCAGCTCTTAAAATGTTCCCATGCTCTCTGCCTTAATATAGCTGCATTTCAGTGTTTAGTGAATTCCCACATTTATGTTTTCTAGGATACGTTGAAAAGTTTCATGGAAGGGATATTGTAATAATTAAAATGATTAATTTATTAAACCAAAACATGAAAATTTGAACCATTCTTTCTTCTGAAGTTACTTATGTTGCTGTCCTTTAAGTGTGTTTTCACTGTGCCTTCTAACTCCTGACTTTGTCTTTTCAAGAGTGAGATTGAAAAACTAAAAGCAGAAAATGATCGGCTGAAATCTGAAAACCACGGCAGCTGTAGCAGGGCTCAGTCTCAGGTTTCCATTTCATCCTCTCCGAGACATTCAGTGGGTATCTCTCAACACAGTTTGAACCTCACGGAGTCAACCAGTCTCGGTGAGTTTAATGAGAAGGGTGGTGGGCAGGTTTTATCCTGCACTCGGAAGATTTGGTTTGGTTAGCCATGGAAAAATGAAAGCATGAAAATTATTACCAGTTGAGGTGTGGAAATATGTCAGGAGCTGGCACAAAGCCTCCTTCTGAAACGTTGTCGTAGGTCTGCTACACCCTAGGTTGGAGTTGTCCAATTATGACCTCAGCTACGAAGAGTCATGTTTGAAGCCATTTAATAGTGCTTATTTCCCAGGGGATATATCATAGGAAGGAAAGTACAGAGTAGCTAATAATTTTCAGTGCCCTTCACTTTTTAAGAGTGATACTGATATTTGGTAGGGAAGTCAGTAAACCCATTCTTATGTTTTAGCTTGGGGCATGTGAAGCCCAGATGCGTTGTGTTTGACTACAATAAACGTGTTGGAATCAACCAGAATAGTCTTCATTGTTACTAAGATACAGCTGTGAAGCCATTGATGTTCTCTATTCACAGACATGCTGTTAGATGACACTGGAGATGGCTCTAGCCGGAAAGAAGGAGGCAGGCACGTCAAAATAGTTGTCAATTTTCAGGATGAAATGAAATGGAAGGAGGTGAGTTGTGTTTCATGCCTAGCTTTAAAATGTAAGTGACTGTGGAATGGGCCAGGGAATTCAAATTTATTGGTGTGTCACTAGTGATAGACAAGGCACTCAGTTCCCTGCCGCTTCCATGGAACTGCTGAGAGCCAGCACTGTCAGTTCAGGTTGTCTCATGGACTCATCTACAGTAGCTCTGAACTAATAATGAAAATGGTCCAGTGTGTCAACAGAAGATGCACTGAAATGCTGGAAGCACCAATATTCTGGAAGAACTTCATGGATCCAAACTAGGACATCTGTATTTTATCATTCTAGTTCAGGTTTTCCTCTGGTACAGCTATCCCATTTTGAATGACGTCTTTCAGACATTCTCCATTTGCAAGTAATTGAAAGAAAGAATCCTAAACACCTGTAAAAGAGTATTTAAGAAATAATTTTGTGTCTTTTGTAAGGGGACACACACACAAAGAAATGTGACTAGTCAGAAATAAACTTGACTCAGCAGATTTTGTATTAATAATTGCAGCCTTGGGTAAGCAAATTTACAGTAAAACTATAATGCTGTCTCTCTATATAACTATTTATACATATAACCATGTATAATTTTTGTATATATGTGTAGATTTCTATGTCCGTGGCAGCATTTCTGGAAGTAAGTGGGGTAAACCTTGCAAAAGCAATATAGCTGATTGTGAAGTCATGGGAAAATTAGCATACCATGAACTTTCCTGCCTAGAATTCTCTTAAGAGTCTTTCTGTCTTCTTGAATTGTTCATAGATTGGTAAATAAATACCTTTTACTTATCATCAGTACTGAATAAGTATCCTTTAAATTTGTGACTTCAACACTGTAGGAGATGTTTAGAAGAAAAGAAGGATTTCATATAGCGTTTAGAATTCACCATAGAGAGTGGTAAAGATGCACCACAATAAAAAAGAAAAGCTATTCTAATAATATTAAACAGACTTGTCTGATACAGTTAGGATTTATTTCTTAACTTCACATTTCTGTGCATTTAGGATTTGAGGCCTCGCACCTTCCTCATAGGCTGCATTGGAGTCAGTGGCAAGACCAAATGGGATGTTCTGGATGGGGTTGTACGACGCTTGTTTAAGGTTAGAGAGTACAATTTGCTGAGTGTCTGAATTCTCCTATTAGATTCTGACGGTGCCAAGCAATATTGAACTTGCTGTGATGATGGCTATTCTAGCATAGAGCGAAGTTGGCCTTCAGTGCTGCCTAACTTTCTGTGTCCCTTTTTCACCCTAGGAGTATATCATTCATGTGGATCCTATGAGCCAGCTGGGGCTGAATTCAGACAGTGTTCTGGGCTACAGCATCGGAGAAATCAAACGCACTAACACTGCAGAGACACCTGAGCTGCTGCCCTGTGGTTATCTAGTTGGAGAAAACAACACTATTTCAGTTACCATCAAAGGTAATTGCACTTGACCTGCCTATTGTAGCTCTCATTAATTACAGTTTTATCAAAGATTGCTGTGTCAAGAAACTTTTGGAGGAGTAGAAACTTTTTCTTGTGTTTATTTTTTCCATCCCTGCCTTTTATTTACTGCCTTTTATTTTATTTTCATTTAATGAAGACAGCACTTAGAGTACGCAAAGTCTATAAATTCAGCCAATTTTCAACCTGTGACAGTAGGAAAAATTACACACACAGCAGTTTTCTCCACATATCTTGAACTCATGCCTGGAGTTGTCCTAGAGAAGATCTCATACCACAAGGGATATGAGGTAGAGTTGTTTGAGCAGCAAAGTACCTTCCAAATGAATAAAGCCTCAGAATTTCATTACCTCTTTGTGAGAGCTGTAGGTGTTACTTCCTTCATGCAGAGTAGAAAAACATTTGGATTTAACTTGCTTGATTGGTCTTGCTGAAGAATCCTTCCTTAGGCACCAATAAGGAGGGATCCCAGAATTCTCACGATACCTTAAAATCTGGATTATTTTCAAAATGTATGGTTTTCAGAATTCTTATTACATCATACTGCTAAGAATTTAATTCTTATATTTCTCATATAATTTCTCATCTGGTTTCTCAGGGAACCCTTTTTATATGAAAACTAAACGATGAAACTAGGTTTGAGGGGAAAAACCCTCAACCTGCTGCATTTTGTTACACCAGTGAAATCTCAAACGTAGGTCTGCATACAGATGAGTGTTTGAGAGCACTGCCAAACACTCTGCAGCTCAACTTTGAAAGCTGGCTGAGGGTAATTTGATTTTTTAATATTAGTGTAAAAAATCAGTTACCATGGGTAGCAAATCGGTGGGCAGGAAGACAAAATAAGCCATGAAATACCTCAATTTACTGAGGCCTGATGTGAACCCAGGGTATTCTGCTTACTTGGAATACACTGTCCAATAGTAAAACCCAAGTGAAATATTGCTTAAGGTCTAGCCATATCTGTAAAGCTGCAATCTGATTTTATATTTAACTTGCATTGGCTTGACTTGTACTTTGAAGTACAAGTGATAGCAGTTTTCAGTAAAACAGAAATGTATTTAATCAATTTATGAAAAATCACTTACATATACCTGTGAGATACAAAGCTGCCTGTATAAATGCTTAATATACCAAGTAACCATTGAGGTGCAAACATTTCTGTGTGTTATCTGCCAATTTCCCTTCCTGCTGTTTATTTTGAAGCACAGTGTGTTTTTCCTGAGCCAATTCTGCCTAAAGTGACTGCTGACATCGCATAAATGCTTATCAGTAGGAGTTTTATGTTAGAAGAGATAACTATCAGCATACAGAAAAGGAGTTTTAATTACAAGCATTTGGGAAAGCAGGGGGAGTTGATGATAGCTGGGTTTTTTGTCTAGTGATTCAAAAGTAAACAGGTAAATTCTGGATGAATTCATACCGTACAAGGCAAAGTACTGTAAAATGGATGGTTTGTGTGTGATATGTGTGGCCTGGAATCATTTAGTATGGCAGCTTTCATATGGCCTTAGACACCCTAGAACAGAAAGCTGAAGGAGGACGCAGGCTAAGCCCACAGGTCACTTCTGCCTTTATTTTTGCAGCTTTATATGTGCTCCTCTCAACGTGAGGGATACCAGAGTTGGGAAGGGATTTATCTCTGAAGTGAAAAACAGCTTGGTCAAGTCAGATCTAAATCTGCTGTTTCTAAGCGTGATTTTGGGGGTTTCTGCTACTATTTGCAACATACAATGTTGGTACAGTCACAGAATCACATTTTCCAGTTCTCTGGTTTGACTACCTATTTATTTCATAGAATTATAGAATGGTTTGGTTGGAAGGTACCTTAAAGCTCATCCAGTTCCAACCCTGCCATGGGAAGAACACCTTCCGCTCGACCAGGTTGCTCCAAGCCCCATCCAACCTGACCTTGAACACTGCCAGGGATGGAGCAGATTTCAACTAATCTTGATTGCTTTCCATCATTATAACTACTTGGTTAAAAAAGAAAACAACTTTTAAAAACTGGGGCAATTTGGCTAAAAACAGTGAATCCTTCTAAATGAAGAATCTTTTCCTGTTGCAGGTATCTGCGAGAACAGTTTGGACGGTCTAGTGTTTGAATCACTGATCCCAAAGCCTATACTGCAGCGTTACGTCTCTCTCCTGATGGAACACAGACGAATTATCTTATCTGGTCCCAGTGGCACTGGTAAAACATACCTAGCAAACCGTCTGTCTGAGTATATGGTCCTTAGAGAGGGCAGGGAGTTGACTGATGGCATTATTGCAACCTTCAATGTGGACCATAAATCCAGTAAGGTGAGGACACAGAAATCATCCTTGCATGATTAATGAAAAACGAGAGCCTCCTCTGTCACTAATTCATCCAAATCTGATTTAAAACTTCTCTTTTTAAAGCATTATGTTAATCCTGATTGGAAAAATACTGAAGGTTCCAGAACTGCAGATTCACCTGATTATGGGTCTGAAATAGTAGGCTTCCAAGTGTATATCTAAACACCTAAAGGTGTCATGGTTTTTCAAGTGTTTAGGAGATTAAGAATTGCCCAGGAAGTTAAACACTGCGTAAAATTCCCAGAAACTTAAGCAATCCCTGTTGCATGTGGGCATTCTTCCAAACATCCTTAAATGCAACTCTAGGCTGTCAAGAGTTTCTGCAACTGCAAGTATCAGCAGTTGTAATCTGCATATGCTGGGTTTGGAGTGACTGTTGTCCAGACACATTCCTGCACTGGTAAGGCATGTCTCTGCTTTTTGATGTGTTGATGGGTTTGCTGAATATTCCTCCAGTGAATGTCTACATTAGAGAAAAAAACAAACTGTATATTTAATGGCCTTAGGCATATTTTCCTCTGGAGAAGAGGAATGGTTGAAACTGTGGTTGTAGGCGACTGGTAAAAATTGAGATGTGCTACGAAATAAATGCTTTTGTAGAGAGAGTTGAGCAAGTTCCTGAAAAGAAAGAAAAATACATTTCAGATCTCTGAGTGTCAGATTAGGACAGCATGAATGAAAAAACACATACCAAATTACAAAATTTTACCCCCCCGCCCCCCACTTAAGCCCTTATCTCACACATACTCTTTGAATCTTCAGCATAACTTAGAAAGGAGAAGTAAAACCATATTCTTTTGTTTTCTCATGGAAAATGTGTGCATTTGTAAGATGTCAGGCTCTTTTGCTTTAGATTTCATTACGAAGGTAGTAGCTTATTTATCCTAACCGGATTTTCAAGGAATATGAAGAAAACCTTTCCTTTTTCCTTTTTTCTTTTTTCTTTTTTCTTTTTTCTTTTTTCTTTTTTCTTTTTTCTTTTCTCTTTTCCCTTTTCCCTTTTCCCTTTTCCCTTTTCCCTTTTCCCTTTTCCCTTTTCCCTTTTCTTTATATATTCTCTGCAGGAACTCCGCCAGTACCTGTCCAACCTAGCAGACCAGTGTAACAGTGAAAACAACGCTGTGGATATGCCTCTTGTAATCATTTTGGATAATTTGCATCATGTTAGCTCCCTAGGAGAGATCTTTAACGGACTTCTAAACTGCAAGTACCACAAATGGTAATGAAATACTCTCAGAACACATTCCACGTTTCAGTAGTGCAGTAAGACCACTGCTGTTGCAAAATGTGATTACAAACCCAGTATCTAGATGAATTTGGTCAAGTGGACTGAGATGGGTGGACTGTCTGTATTATGGACAGCAATCCAGAGGTTTTATGCTTTATTAAATGATCAGTTCTTCTAAAATCAGTAATAAAATAGTAGTAAAGGGTTTGAGTAATATGTTTTGGGTAATATCTCAAAGCAGGATATTTCTCTAAAAAATGGGGCTTTAGTATTGAAGACCTACTGCATGATGTGAATTGAGATTTCTGTTCTGCTTTGAGAATTTGAAGATTTCGGAACTCAGATTCTCAGTAAATTATTTGGTTGCAATTAACATTAAAGACAATTAACAGAAGAGACTCGAGTAACCCTTTTTTGATTATTGTTTTTCAAAAGAAGTCTGATTTGCTTGATTTTTTTTGTTTTGTTTTTTTTAATAGTCCATATATTATTGGCACAATGAACCAAGCCACCTCCTCAACACCTAATCTCCAACTTCACCATAATTTCAGGTACGGTTTATTCATGTTTCTCATTTATGTTTGTGGGCTGGCAAAGGAGTAACGGCTACTGAGTCATCTGAAATTGCTCTTATCAGCTGAAATAGCAAACTGAGGGAGAAATACCATTCACTACTAGTTGCTGCCCTGACATGTGCAGCTTTGTTATGATGCTGTTACTGAAGTAACTGCAGTTCATAATACTTCCAGAGGATTGTTAAGATATTTGATCTTCTAACAGATTTTAAATAAGACAATATTTAGGCAAACCGAATGAGAAATAAGCTGAAACAATGCACAGTGCAAGTTGTTGCAGCTAGAGCTCATCATCCCAAACTAACGTTGGCTAAGAAACATATATGCCTGGGATAACCCATTTTGATCATGATAATAGTCTAGAAATGAGAGAAATGTAATCCAGAATAGTTAGATTCAGTAGCATGAAAGAGAACCAATGGACATCTCTGCTGTTCTGCCCTAGATGGGTGCTATGTGCTAACCACACTGAGCCAGTGAAAGGCTTTCTGGGCCGTTTCTTGAGAAGAAAACTGATTGAAACCGAGATCAGTGGCAGGATGAGAAATACTGAGCTGGTTAAAATTATTGACTGGATTCCCAAGGTCTGGCAACATCTGAACAAATTCTTGGAGGCTCACAGCTCCTCTGATGTTACTATTGGTAAGTGCTGTGTCTGTATGCCCAGGTATATGTGAATAGACGTATTTTATTTCCTTGTATACGGGGTATATCTGTGTACATTTCTTTGTTCTAGATCAGGTTAAAAAGGTTTCTTTAAAACCCTACTTTCAGATGGCAGTGTACTCTAAGGCAAATCATACAAAATCTTTTTAAACTTTTTTTTTTTTCTAAATAAAAGGAACATACTTCTTAGTCCTGGCTACAAACTGTGTTAGGAAATCTGGTTGTTTTCACCTTGAAGCCTGTAGTTTTTCAAGTTGATTCAGAGGATTTTTGGTCTCTCACTAAGAGCAATTCACCAGCTAGCTACTTACGTTCTCTCATCCTTGGCTTCTTTCTCCAGAGAACTGGAAGTAATTGTTTGATCCGGTTTTTGATGCATATCATGATTGGAATTTGGGTGTAATAATCTGAATTTTCCTCTCCAGGTCCACGGCTCTTCCTCTCCTGTCCGATAGATGTAGATGGTTCTAGAGTTTGGTTTACTGACTTGTGGAACTACTCCATCATCCCATACCTTCTGGAGGCAGTTAGAGAAGGGCTGCAGGTGAGCAGGCAAAAGTGGAAAATCATAGGTCTTGAATGGTATCTATTGAAAAGGCAACACAGCATCAGACAAAACTGAATAATGGCAACACTTTCTGTAGGTATAACTTTGCACACTGAATACCTGCATGTCTTTGAAAAGGTAACCTAAATTGTCATTAATTTCAGGCAGAATTATTCTCTTCAAATAATTTTGAAATATTCAGTGGAAGCACTAAAAGTCCAAATTAGATTTTCTGAGAAGTGTTCAGATGCCAAACTACTGACATTTTCAGTGGGAGGAGTTAGACACTGAAATATCTTTCAGTCATCTGTTCCAGAAGCACACCTTCAAATTCTTCTGTGCCTCTGAAAAATACTTGTGGTCATTAACTTAGTTATGCACAATTTTCCTTTGTAAATCAAACTTTCAACTGATAAGGAACAAAGCTGTATATGGAAAGAAATGTATTAATGAGTGACAGGATCAGTGTCTGTGATGGTTTGATTACTTCTCAGTCTACAGGATTCATTTATAATTCTTTCAGAGGCCATAGTGAAATCATCACTGGTTGCATGTACTTAGTAACTGGTTCTTACTCTAGCAGTTTGGATAGCTTTAAGCATTGCCATGCAATTCTTAGCATCTACAGAACTATAAAGCTTTCTGGATTCGGGAGGGTTCAACAGAGTATTCCTGTGGACTTGCCATGCAACTATGGAAAAAAAAGGGCTTTTTTATTCCTCGGTCCTCTTTTCGCAGAATACAGCACATAATTTAAAATACAGTTTTGATGATAGCATCATGAAATATCAATAAATCCTGGGCATTGCATGCATGAAAGCTAAACATGAGATCACACATACAGAAATGAAAAGGTGGATCACAGAGTCTAGAAGGTTGGAAAAGGGCCAAAGGTGGATAGAGAATGGGAAATCATGGCAATGCATGGGGAGCTTGTGTTTTGGTAAGAGGGCTAATGGCATAATTACATCTGATACAGGTAGGAAGAGAAGAAGGTACTTCTCCATGTAAAAAGATTTATTAGAAAGATAAAAATGTGGAAAAGGTTCAGGAAAGAGCAATACGTATCATTAAGATACAGGAAGCATTGTTCAGTGAAAGAGATGAGAAACTCAAACTATTCAGTTTATTCAAGAAGCAGCTAAAATTTTAGTTGATCTCTGGTCCTCTGCTTTAGTCCTGCGGGGGGAAAAAAGCCTTGTGGATGTTCGGAAAGTTTTGATGAGAAAAATCCACTTGTAAGTAAGACATGGCTTGTTATTGGTAAGAATAATTAACGGTTACAAAACTTTACTTGCAGAAATTGTAGGTTCTACATCACATAGGTCTCTGAAGTGTTTCTGAAACATGGAATACCTCCAAGTACAGGCTCCATGGAGAAAGAGTTGTGTTGCAGAATGGTTCCTTCATGTTTGTGAAGAATAGTTCTCTCCATTCTGCTATTGCTTAGGGCTCACCACTGCAGTGTTTTTCAGGATGCCTCACCATGAAGAGCTTTTACTAATGGCTTCTTACAGATCTGTGAAATACATGAGTTCTTCAACAAGCTTGGGTTAAAATTCGGGCAAACTGCTGTTGCCATGTGAAATCTGTCAAGTGCCTGTTGACCTCATTTTCTTTGGGATGATTGTTGTAGACTCTGAGACATGAGGAAAGTGATAGGTCCAACAGTGCAAAACACTGAGAGGAACTGTGTTAGAAGTAGAACAGAACTGTTACATAAAACTTCTTATAAAGGAAGTTAATGGGAGCCAGTAATCTTTTTCACCTAAATCAAGAGAAAGGAGCGCATGTGATTCTGTTTCCTCCTGAAATGGAGAAAACTGATACTGACAGTGGTGCTTGGGCTGCTTGTAGGTCTCACATTGCTGATCAGTAAGTGTGGGTGGAACACAAAAATAGATTAGTAACAGAACTATAGAACAAAAGTAATAAAACCATCTTTTTGCTTGCTAAAGCTATCATTTTGCCTGATATCTGCTTCTTTCCTTAGGTTATTTGAATGGCTTGCATTGCAGGTGTAAGGATTTCAGTTTCTCATGTTGTGCTTCAGATTCTTTATCTGCTTCAGTCCAATTTCCCCAAATTTCACTAATTCATTTCTATTTAAATAACTTCCCTTTTGTTTAGTTGATGGATAAGAATAAGGCTTCAGTATTTGAAGAGTGAACAGAGTTGTGCTGCTTAACAAGCTAATGCTACAAATGTGTGTTTCATTTTGGGCTATTTTCTGTCCTCCTTACACCCACAATGGCTCCTCTGAGAACACCTCTTCTCTCATGAAGTTGCATGCCAGAAAGGAAGGGTGAACTGCTGATTTTACTCTGATCCGAGTGAATCTAAATGGAACTAATTTTATATCTCTGTTTCTCAGTTAGGGAACTATTCTGGGTCAAAGACGAGCAAGCCAAATGGATCCTTAGAGTAATTGCTCCCATTGGAGCTGAGCTTTTTTATTCTTCAAAACAGGGATCTGAAAATTAGAGGGTTAGATAAAACCCAAGTTCCATCTGCTTGGTGTATCAATATGGAGTGCAGCGCCAGCAAAAAGAGGAACAAAGTCCCTGTAGCCTCCTGCCACCATCACTCATACTCCAGTCATTCCTCTTTGGTGCTTTGTGAAGCAACCTGTTTGATCCTTGCCCCCTTAATTGCTCCCTAGAAAATGTGCACATGAAGGGGATGGACAGAACTGGCTGCTGTGGAAGGGAGCAGTGAGTTTGTCAGTTTCTGGTCTGCTAAAGATACCTGATGATTTGATAAACTGAAATGGGAATTTTATTCACTAGCTAATTGTCATAAGTGAGCCAGGATCCACACAGACCTGCATAGCAAAGACCTGAAAAACATAAAATCCTCTTCACTTAGCAACTGACATGTGCTGTAAATTCAAAAGCAAAATTAAAATAGAAGATCTGGTTTACCACAGCTTGATGATGTTATTCTGGGAAAATAATACAGTGCAGCTGAAGGATGAAGAGTATTCGGGCTGTGAAAGAGGCTGTTAAAAATTGCTTAGCACCATCTGCTGGGCACTCTGCTTGGGCTGAGTGCTGCTTCAGAGTAAAGCAGAAGATGGTATTTAGAGCAATTTAAGACTTCAGGCATGCAAAAAATGAAACCACAAAAAAACCCAAGAAGAAATAGTGATGAGGAAAGTGAGATACTCTTAGGTCTGTCAGCAAGTTGATGAATTTCTTGGTAAGAGCTCCAGTTTTCCCCCTTGCGTGTTGTCATTCTAGTGACAAAATGCCAGTGACCAGCTGCAGTTGCTGAAGGATGTTTAGGCTGAAATTTATAAAGCAGAATTAAGCATTTTTAAAGACACTTGAAGCTGTATTTATGCTTTAGAGAGTCTTGTGGCATTAAAGTGAGTGTATTATCTAGTTAAGGCAGACTGAATATAACAAGGGGAGGAATATGTTGGGATTCAATAACACTGTTCAATACAGAAAAAGGTTTTGGAACAGAGCTTGCTTTCTTGAAATAGGAACATAATCACAGACAAATCCTGCTGTTGCTTTTTGTTGGTTGAGTGCAAAGGAATTCTGCTGACTTGAAAACCTTTTGCTGTGACATCCATCATTATTGCCTGATGACAGGTCTCACGTTTCCTCTTACACATTCCACTGAAGGCAGTTTCCCAATGACAGCAAATGCACATAAGGCAGCTGCTGGTGTGATCCAGATGTCAGTGTTGATGGCCTCTTTGTATATTGATTTCATTTAAATTAACTTTATTAAGTGATGTTGTTTTCAGGTCTCCCTTTCTTCCAACTGGTGCCAAGAGAAGGGCACTTCAGTCTCACAGGAGGTGGTCAGATGCCTCCAGATCAGTTGCCATTAAAAATTGCTTTGTATTTCATTAGGGTAACTTGTTCATCCCTGCTCACGAGTGTTTTCTGCATTCCAGGAATCATAGAATCACAGAGTGGTTTGGGTTGGAAGAGACCTTAAAGCTCATCCAGTTCCAGCCACCGGCCACGGGCAGGGACACCTTCCACTAGACCAGGTTGCTCCAAGCCCCGTCCAGCCTGGCCTTGAACACTGCCAGGGATGGGGCAGCCACAGCTTCTCTGGGCACCCTGTGCCAGCGCCTCAGCACCCTCACAGGGAAGAATCTCTTCCCAAGATCTAATCTAAATCTAACCTGTTCTAGTTTAAAGCCATTCTCCGTTGTTCTGTCACTACATGCCCTTGTAAAAAGTCCCTCTCCAGATTTCTTGTAGGCCTCCTTTAGGTATTGGAAGACTGTTACAAGGTCTTCCCTGAGCTTTCTCCAGGCATGTTAATTTTGGTTAGGAAGGAACTGAATTAAATGGTTGACTAATAGGAATGTTCTGTGTGGTTTTATGCTTTCCCAGTTGTATGGGAGGAGAGCACCCTGGGAGGATCCTGCCAAATGGGTGATGGACACCTACCCCTGGGCAGCCACCCCACAGCACCATGAGTGGCCTCCTCTGCTACAGCTGCGACCTGAAGATGTGGGCTTTGATGGCTACTCAATGTCACGTGAAGGCTCAACGAGCAAACAAGTTCCAGTGAGCGATGCTGAGGGAGATCCTTTGGTAAGCTTTCGTTTCTGAAACAGCAGAACTGCTTTGTTTCCCTTGTTTTTAGGGATTAGAAACAGGAATAAGAAAGTAAAGGACAACTGAGGAGTGATTAAAAGCTTTAGCATGATAAGGCAATGTTTCTAGAGAGGTCATCAAGTGAACTCTCGGAATGAATTTGCATGGAAAGCCAGTTCAGTTTTGCAAGAAATGGAGGAAGAAGTTTTTCACATTCAGTTATGTGAAAAGTATCAGAGGATACTTTGAGGACTCATTTTTTGAGGAGTGACTGAAGATGAGTGTAATACACTTAATTCCTACCCTGTGGAATTAAATTACAGTGAATCCTTTTCATTTAGCCTGTTTTGCTGCAATCACAAAATAGGCTTGTTGCTTTACTTCATATGGCTTTGAGAGCTGTATTCTTGACACCAAATGAAAACTGAGATTTTCAAGGAATACAAGAACTAATTTATGAATTAGAAATACCACACAAAAACGTAGAAAAACGTTAACGTGTAATTGTACAGAAAGTATAAATTGAGGTTGAAGGTAACACTGGATGCACATTTTCTTCCAATGGGAAATGGTTATTGAAGCTGCTGTGCCAGCTGGACACCCTGAAGCTGTTCTCTTGAGCTGTTAATTTTTGTGGGCAGTTGGGAGTATAGAAATGTGTGTTCCAGTGTTTACCAGCTCATATATACATATGCAGACATTGAGCTAGGTATTAGGATGTTTAGATTTCCTTCATTTGATCTATCTGTCTGTATTTCCATGGGTCAGAGGGAAGAGAGGGGAAGGATGCTTGTCAAGTACAGCTGTCAAGTGACCCCTTCAATCTTCTCATTTCCATCTTCACTGGAAAAGCATTCTTTTTATGACTAACTTGCATGCTGCTGTAACACAATTTACAGTTAATATCTCTCATCAGAGTCTCATTATCAATTACGCTGCTTGTTTCTTCCTTTCCTTTGTTACCCACTGGCAAAGTGGATGCCACTGGGGATTTTATATGGAGTTGGTATTCTGTCTACCTCAGAATACAGGTAACAGTGATGACCTGTGCCTTTGCAGATGAACATGCTAATGAGACTGCAAGAAGCAGCCAACTACTCGAGTCCTCAGAGTTACGACAGTGACTCCAACAGCAACAGCCATCAGGATGACATCCTCGATTCGTCTCTGGAGTCAACGTTGTGATTTTCCTCAGACGGAAAGAGGTGGTTCCCACTATCACTCTTCCACTTACCAAGAACCCTGCTCACAGTCTCATTGAAAAGAACATGTTCCTGGGCTGGGATCTCAGTATTAGAGCTGCAAGAACAACAAGACACTTGGAATCAGTCTTGAACCTGGGTGCAGGCAACCCAAGCAACGTTTGTATTGTTTTTCTTTTGACAATGGTGAGAACTGCACTAATTACTTTTTTTTTTCCTATTTAGTTGCTGTAAACTCTCATGCCTAAGATACTGAAGATGTTAAAAGTAATCATTACTAAAAGTTGAAGGGGTGGGAGGGGGGAACTTCACAGTTATGAAGCAAACAGCTTTGTGCCATGTACTGTCCGGAAGGAGAGGGGAGAGGAAATGTTTGCCTATGCTGCTTCTGACCAAACACATTTAGGTGAGGGCTGGACTTTTACCAAACAGCTTTGCAGATTAAACTAAGCTTCGTAGAGTTCTGGTGCTATAACAATATCATTTGCCTTGGTAATAATATTCAATAAAGGCAAAGCTGCAAAACAGGGAAGTTTGAATAAATATAAAAAAAGAGAAAAGGAAAAAAAAGGAAACGAAGCGCTGCTCTCCTTGCCAGTCTGAGACCTTGGCTCTCTTTCATTGTGTGTTTATAAAGATATATATATAAATAGGAATATATAAAAATATATATACCAGGTTTTTTCCAACACTGTGTAACAATCTGTCCTACCACAAGTGACAAATCAGGTTGCTCTTTGCTAGTTAAGGCCTGACTCTCTTCCACTTACATCCATGTAACCAATTCAGTTGACTTCAGCGGCATTGGCAGTCCTAGGGGAAAGGTTGGACTTGATGATCTTAAAGGTCTTTTCCAACCTTGTTGATTCTACAGTTCTACTACACTGATGTATTTACACTGAGGAGAGGGAGTTCTCCTCCTCCATGGAAGTCAGTGCAAAAGGTCCATGCCCCGTGAAGTCCTACAGCTCTGAAGGACCTTTGGTGAGCCCTGTACACAGAGGTGAGCTGCACCCCTGGAAAGGGTTTGATCGGACTGTCAGTTGCAAATTCTTGCCATGAAATGTTACAGCTGTTTTCTAAAAACTTTAAGTTTAGTTCAGAGCTTTCGTTACAATCAACCCAGACGTATAAATGGGTTACTTAAAACTCAGCTCTGTAACAGTTCCAGTGCTACTCTGGTGAAAACATTTGTGATTTTTCTTTTAAATTAAAAAAAAAATAACAGGATTTTAGCAGTATTCAGGTCTGGAAACCAAGGAGGGAAGGTACTTTTAAGTTTAGCTGGGCCATGCTTTTGAGTTTTGGCAGAGCTGTGAACCTGGTTTTCTTTCTCCTTCTCTCTGAACGCACACACCTACACTATCAGCGTTCAGCTTGGTACTTCTGTTTTGGAAAAAAGAACACCTCCCAAAGAATTGCACTTTCCTTTTGATGGCAGCAAAAGCTTACACCACCATCACCACACCATCAGCTGTACCTCAGCAAAAACACCACTCCTCAGTATGGGTTTGTACGAGCCTTTCCAGCTATCTTTTGGTGCTGACTTTTAAAGCAATGCCTTATTTTGTACTAATTGTGTTTGATTAAATTAGTGCTGTATATGACGGGGTTTTATTTAAAGAAACAGGGCTAAAGTCATCTCTTGGAATATCTTAAGTTGCTGTGAATATTGTTTGTAAGAGATAACTAGAATTTGTTTAAATGTGACAACAGAAAAAAAAGGAAATGAGAGAACATTTCAGGTTCATATCAATCTGCAGCTAATAAATCACTGAAGAGCTGTTTTATCCATGCAGTGGCGGGGGGGAAAGCTTTTCAACTATAATAAATGCTGTCATTAATAAATTACAGGAATATGCTGGTTTTTCAATGTACAGAAAGAAAACTTATTACAAACACTTTTTTAAGAGCTTGTGGGTTTAAAGTAACAGACAAGTTCATGCTTCTGTGACTCAGCTTGAGAGGATGGTTTTATTATACCTCATGACTTTCTGTAACATAACTGTACTTTGTCTTACTGAGCTGGTCTTGAATCTGCTCCTGTTACAACTTTTAAGTGCTGATGACTTTTTTTGTTTTTAAAGAAAAATATTTTAAAAGAAAAATTTAAATATTTTAATGATGGGGGTGGGGGAAGAACTTGGTGTTGTTACTGTTTTAACCTTACGAACTCTTATTTCATTATTTCACTGAATGAAATACCAAGGCTTACTCAGTCCATGTTTCTAATCCAGTTCTTGGTACTGTAAAAACGGGATAAATGTGTATGGAATCACATAGCATGCTGATGATGAGTTTGAGAGAGGTGAATTTTTCCAGTAGTCTTGACAATTCTGCTTCCCAGCACTGACTTTACCTGCTACTACTGTGAATTTTGGTACCTAATCCCCCAACTGAATCCATGCAGATGGAGCATGTGCCTGCAAAGAAAATCCAGTTGCAGGGCTAGGGCTTTAAATGGACTTGATATCCTAGAAAATGGCTCAGTTAACCTTTAACTGGGTGCAGTAAGAGATGTTTAAAATGATGTTTTATTTGTGGGAAACGGGGTATTTTTGTTTTTTTTTCCTCATTTTTAATCCTGTGCTTAAGCTCAGGAAGGAATTTCTGTTCTTATTTTTTATTGACAGTAGTTTGGATTACTGTGAGAGGCAGTTTGGAGTAGGCTAGTTATTCTAAACATCACAATATTCAGTGTCTCTTCTGAAACTTCGGGAAGCAGGGTTACCTGTTGTGCACACGTCTTAGTTTTTATCAAGCCTCTTCATAGATTTAAGTCTTTCTTTAAGTGACTTTGTTCTCATTTAAGGCTTTTTCAAAACACTTCCTTACTTTTATGCCTTTTTTTTTTACAAAGTTGGCTTGTGTAAAAAAAAAAAAAAAAAAAGCAAAATTCTATGCAACATTCGTGTTGAGTTATAAATTGACAGTAGAAAACCATTTTCTTCAGAACTGCCAAGAATGATACAGGCCATAAATGAGATGTGGTTTATTTGGGGAAGGGGAGGGAGGGGGTTGGCTAGCCTTTTTGTATATTTTGGAAGAAGCAAACTGCTATTTCATTGTTGATGCTTAACTTCGGTATTATGTGTATGAAATCTTGTCTAAATGTGGCAATTTGCTTTCAAAGAAAAAAAAAACTACAAAAAGAAAGCAAAAAAAACCTCTTTGTTGCTATTCAATGGAAGGTTGCTGTTTTGATCTAGTCGTTTCCAGTGGAACAGTTTATGAAATATGTTCTATAAGATGTACATTTTTTCATTGTAACATAGAAATGTAAATATTTGATTAAAAGTGCTGCATTTTGATGAATTTTTTCTAGCCATTTTTAAAGAGAAAAAACTAGGAATTGAGTATTTTGTGTACGTTTATGATGTTTTCCATTTGCTCCTCTCCCTATTTAATTTTCAGTTCTCATTTAGGATTGGAATTTGTGAATGGTCTGTTTGAGATCATGCTTCCCCTTTCTCACCCTCCCCAATTCTCCCCCTTCCCCGCCCCCAGTGTCATGGAGAATAAAGCTGATGATTGTACCAGTCTTAAATTATTCATGATTCAATAAAATTGATGCTTATTTATTCAGATTTGTGGCTTCCCCGAACTCTTAATCAGCATTTTCTGGGTTTTTTATTTGAAGATTGTGAGGTTCACTTTGTTTTTATTGGCTTCCTATAAGTACTTGTGAAAAGATGCCAACAGCCTTTACCATATCCAGGAGGAATTTAGCAGAGGGACTACACCAGTGCAATTCTCTTGCCCGTAGCTAATGTTTGCAAACATCAAGATCTGCTCAAGACAACATTGGTCTATCTATTTAGAGCATCTCAGCATAATGCTCAAAGTCAAACAGTACATGGCCATCAGGATGTATCCTGATAACAGCTGGTTCTAGCTTCTTCAAGACAAGTCCCTGTAGGTCACAAGGGCTGCAGGTGCAGTAAGTGTCAGGCTTAGTCTGAACATACTTTTGCAGAATGACTTTTACAGCATCCCAGACTGGTTTGGGTTGGAAGGGACCTTAAAGCTCATCCAGTTCCAACCCCCTGCCACCAGCAGGGACACTTCCACTAGTCCGGGTTGCTCCAAGCCCTGTCCAACCCAGCCTTGAACACTGCCAGGGATGGGGAGCTTGTCGGAGTACTTTATTTGGTGACCCTGGGCAGATCAGACATCACTTAGAATAAAGCCATGACATATTTTCATTTGCAGAAAAAAAAGGTGACAAAATTTTCCTGGTAACTTTGCAAAAGCAGAGTATTTGTTGGCATCACTTGGATCTCCAAGAAGAGCTCCAGCATAAGGCCATCTGCAAGTCTTCACTTGCTCTGGTAGGTCTTTCAAACTATTTTCATTCTCATCTTTAGGGAGTTGATTTAAAGGAAGGAAACTTAAGGGCATTAAGCACTTGTGTTTACAGGCTCATAGAGTGGTTTGCGTTGGAAGGGACCTTCAAAGCTCATCTCATCTAACCCCCTTGCAACTAGTCTCTTCAACTAGATCAGGTTGCTCTGAGCCCTGTCCAACCTGGCCTTGAATGTTTCTAGGGATGGAGCATCTGCAACCTTTCTGGGCAACCTACACATTCCACACATTATTACAATTTCCTCTTCACCTAGTTAATAGAGACAACTATGATTATACAGTAATAAATTCACATTGCTCAGTAGGAACATGTAGGGATCTATTACCCTTTCTTTCCAATAAAGAATCTTAACTCAGAAAGTACTCTCTTTTCAGAATGGATAAATCCAGACCCCTCTGCACTTAAAATGTAATGAGTAATTCCTAACAGTAGTAGCTGGTTGGTTGTTTTTTCCTGGATGCTATTTTCATATTTCTGCCTGCCTTTTTTTTTTTTTGACAGTTCCTTGTCGTTATGTGTCTTCTACTTACTGACATAAACTATTAATGTTGGTAAGACAGATCCACCTGTATCAAAGAAAGAGTTTTGAAAGATTCTCTTTAAATTGAAGATCTGCACTCAGTTGAACCTAAAAATAGTCGTCTTTCAACAATGCAGCAGTGCAAACTGTACCTCAGATGGGCTTCATCTGTCTCTCCACAGCAATTTGCCAGAGGCAGAATAGTTTTGAACATGTTCACGCAGATTTGTCTGTGTTGTGTAAACTTCCTTTGATTCACAGAGTTGCATGTTCTAGAATTGGCCCTGGAAAATGCTCCAGCCCTTATCTTGGACAGAGTTTGAATCAATGCTGGACTGGCACCAAAACGTTTAATATCTCCCAGGAATTCTTCTTCGCTTTCTTTTTCCTGGCTGCCG